TCTGGGTGTCTTGGTTACCAGTCTGTGTGTGTGTACCCCTCTCCTTTCTGGGTGTCTTGGTTACTAGTCTGTCTGTGTGTGTGTGTGTGTGTGTGTACCCCTCTCCTTTCTGGGTGTCTTGGTTACCAGTCTGTGTGTGTGTACCCCTCTCCTTTCTGGCCCCTGTGTATGTGCTACCCCCTGTTTTTCTGGTGTCACCGGTCCCATTACTGATCCCTTTGTTTTTGCCAGGTAGTCTGAAGTTGAAGCAGTCTCATTTGAACAGGAAGCTGGCATTGCCTTCGTGTACTGGTTTTTTTCTTGGATGAATCTACAGAGCTGTCAGGAAAAGGGAAGCAATTTGAAGGGCCACGTAGAGATTATCATCCATTCAGGTTGCTGACTGCTTCGAAAGACACATCGTGGTGTGAGGAAGGAGCCCTCCATGCTGTGTACATTTGGTATAACATGATACTTGACCATTTGGAGTGACCATTACTTGTGGAGATATAATTACATTTCAAAAAATGACCACTCCAGCTCTGCTTCCCCTCTCTGGGCGCCGGATCCCTGCTTTAAATTTAGGGACCTCCTCTGTCCCTCACCACCGGGCCACGCTGAGGCTCTCTGAAAAGTTCATTTTGCTCCTCATTCTCAGTGCCTTCATCACCTTATGTTTCGGGGCCTTCTTTTTCCTTCCCGACTCATCCAAGCACAAACGCTTCGACCTGGGTCTGGAAGATGTGCTGATCCCTCACATAGATTCAGATAAAGGAGACAAGAATACAGGGAGCTTCCTTATCCATGGACAGGGTCACGACCAGCACCGCCACAGGTAGGCAAAGTAGTCTTATTGGGCTGGGTTGAAAATGACACAGGTACCCATCCTCAAAGGTGAGAGACAATCCAGTCCTACATGCGTGTCCTACATATAATGGGGTTGGTATCTACAGGGATATTCTATAATAACACTTCATACAACGGGCTTTAGAAAATTGGAAGAGTCCGTAAGGGTTGCTCTATTGGAGAACAGTCAACTGGTGGGTTTCAAAGGGTCATATCCTGATGTGGCTTGGAATGGGCACTGTTGGCAGGAATCAGATGGTCATTTTCATTGTCCAATGTGAATATGAGTGGATATTGTTGGTCAGTTGGTTATGTACAGCAGCCATTTTTCGATGTGGCTTGGAGTGGGCTTTTTTTGGTATGGTTATGTTTTATGGGCCATCTCTCGATGTGGCTTGGAGTGGGCATTGTTGTTCAGGTGCCATCTCTTGTAAGGGGTTTGGAGTAGGCATTTTTGGTATTGGTTATGTTTGGGGGCTGTCTTGATGTGGCTTGGAGTGGGCATCGCCTGGATGAAAGGAAGTCATTATTTCACATCTGCTCTGTTAAATAGAGCTTTAGTATTAAATGCTATGTTTATGGACCATCTCTCGATGTGGCTTGGAGTGTGCGTTGCTGGTATTGGTTATGTTCAGGGGTTGTCTCTCGATGTGGCTTGGGGTGTGCATTGCTGGTATTGATTATATTAAGGGGCTCTCTCTCGATGTTGCTTGGAGTGGGCATTGCTGGTTATGTTCAGGGTCTCTTGATGTGGCTTGGAGTGTGCGTTGCTGGTATTGGTTATGTTCAGGGGCTGTCTCTCGATGTGGCTTGGGGTGTGCATTGCTGGTATTTATTATATTAAGGGGCTCTCTCTTGATGTGGCTTGGCGTGGGCATTGTTGGTTATGTTCAGGGTCTCTCGATGTGGCTTGGAGTGAGTATTTGCTGGGTGAAAGGAAGTCGTTGTTTCACATCTGCTCTCAAGAACGTTAAATAGAACTTTTGTTTTAAAAGCTATTTATGGCTATCTTGTGACCCTATAAATGTTATGGACTTTACTTCCCTTAATTCACAGCTAGAGACGCCCTCGAAGGAGCCTGCAGTTATATTTCCCTAGTTTGGGTCAGTTGGATGGATGGGATGCTTGTAAACATGTTCTCGTTAATGTAACCCAGTCTAAATGAGTGTCTGCTACTAGCTGTATCGTGGACCATTACAGCAGAGTTTGGCAAAAGCCCACTGTCATTGGACTACAGCTCCATAGATGCTTTGTGTGTGTCATTAAGGCTGAAAACAACCTTTTGGCCGTCTCTCCTCCTCCGCTGTATAGACTAAGCATATTTCTCACAGACACATGGGGGTGCAGAAATAACAAGGGACATGCATATTTTAGGCTGACGTATCTGAATTAGAAATTCCCTTTCTATTTACCAATAGCTGCTTCTCTCTGTTAACTCTTTTAGCCATCACATCCAAATTTTCCCTGCTACTTCTTGTCTCAAATCCCCATTGTATCCTTTTAGATTGTAAGCTCACAGGCTATCTAGCTAAGCATTTTGTATAAAAGAGCTCCAATGGCTAGTTATCAGCTTATGGGCAGGGCTGTCTCTACCTCTTGTATTTGTCTACCTCTGTGTATATTGTACGTTCTCCACCAATTGTACAGCGCTGCGGAATCTGTTGGCGCTTTATAAATACCAGTAATAAATAAATTGGCAGGGTTAATCTTTAAAAAGGCATTGTAAACCAAACTCCAAAGTTAAGGTTAAAATTGTGGGAGAGAGACTATTTCCATATTGGGGTTTTCAATTTATTGATTACTGAATAATCCACTCGGTCGCAGGGATTTTCTAAATTTAGACTAAATTATTTAATAACTATTTCAGTTGGCTTAGCATGGCCTCTAATTGAATAACCCAATTCCGAGCTGATTCCGATGATGCAGAAGTTCTAGGTTTGTGTTTAAGTAATGACCGGGGTCATCTCATAATTGCCGGCAGAGCCGGTCAGATCCGGTACATTCACATGGCGGTATTATCGGTTTAAGCTGTACTGTCAGACCACATTACCGGCTTCTACTCACTGTGTAGATTTTGAATCCAGAAGA